ACAACGATTTCAGGCAAATTTCTGTGCTTCCTCATCTAGCTAAAATGATAGAGAAAATCCAGTTGGAACTCAACTCTCATGATTTGGCAATAAAGGACAACCAACATGCTTTCGTTAAAAATCGATCTACTGTTTCAGCCCTGATCTCGATGACCCAGAAGAGGTTTGACGTAACAGATAACTCCAATATTGGAAGAAAAGGGGTCCATACTACGTTCTTGGACTTCAAAAAAGCATTCGACCTTGTCGACCATAGAATTCTATTAATAAAATTAGCGGAAATGAATGTATCGAAGGCCTTCTGGTCATGGGTGAAGTGTTTCCTTACAGAGCGGACTCAACATGTGAATTTACATGGTGTTATATCTTCAAGCGCCCCCTGTCCAGCTGGAGTCCCGCAAGGCTCCGTTATTTCTCCAACACTGTTCAATATTCATATCAATGATTTGGAAAACACGTTAACAAACAACCTTACAAACACGCACAAGTATACAGACGACTGCACTCTTGATGAGGTCGTTGCAAACGGAGCCCTTTCAAATATGCAGGAATCGACTAATCAAGTGATGAATTGGGCCAATGATAATAAAATGATGGTGAACCCCAAAAAAACTAAGGACATGTGGATCAGTTTTTCCCAATCCTCTTCTGAACCCCCACCTATACAAACGGATGGAATTGAAATAGAAAGAGTAAACTCCTTCAAACTTCTCGGTGTATGGGTGAAAAATGACTTAAAGTGGAATACCCATGTTTGTAAAATAACAAAAAGAGCAAATAAGCTATTATTCCTTCTCAGAGAGTGTAGGAAATCCTTCCTACCACCCGAGATTGGTTTATTAACATATACGTCGAAGATCCGGCCAATACTTGAATACGCCTCTCCAGTTTGGGGCGGAATCCCTAAATATCTTGAAGCAGAAATTGAACGTGTTCAACAAAGAAGCTTGAGAATCCTAGGACTTGAGAAAGATACCCTCCCTACACTAAAAGAAAGAAGGGACAAGGCAACATGCAACGAGCTGAAAAGGATCGTGAAAGTCCCAAAAAACCCATGTAATCGTTTCCTATCTGGTAATGAGAATCACACTTACGAACTGAGAAGGACCAGAGACAGCATTCCAAGACAGCTCTCAAAAACACACAGGCATAGTACGTCTTTTATCCCAAGGGCGTGTAGATTAACCAACTCATGAAATTAGATCATTGTACATATGTATATAAAAACTTCTTAAACTTTCCAATTTTTACATTCTCATAGGTTATACATGTATTTTAGTATATATTTTTAACTTGTAAATCCATTGTATTTCTATATGCCAAAGATGGATATTTAACAATAAAAATTGTAAAAATTGTAAAATTGTAAAAAACATGAAATGCAAAGGTTGGCAGATAGAGGAAAATGTGGAAGAAGAAGAAAATGGATACTCATTCAACATGGTGAAGGTTTCCTTGGAATATTACTAAGTCCTATTTTTGAAAGCCTAGCTGAACTTGTATAAAAACCCTGTTACTACAATTTATACATCATTTCAACAATGAACATCGACAGTAAAACATCTCAACGACATTGGCGCATTGAAGATATACTTTTGTATTTGAACAATAATTTCAAAAAAACTACAGCAGGAAAAATTCTACATTCTAGTCTTATATCAAGCGATATTTTAACTTGGAATCCTCAGGAGGAGATTGTTTATCATGGAAGAGACATTCCTGTTCCCAACATCGAACCTTTTACAATACGCACTTTTACCATACAACTCTCACATTCCTGAACCACGAGGGCTCGACCTGTTTACAAAAGGCCTGGTAGAAGCAGGGATTGATAAAAATTTAATTAAAAATGAGTATTTATTGTCAAAAATGGCAAAGGAGGAATATGAAATGCCGCAATCTGACAGTGATGTTGAAAGCGAATCTGGTGAAGAGGACAGGAAATCTGATAACAGTTATAATGAAAGCGAATATGATGATGATGACAATGAGGATAATGGTGAATCTGATGAGTCACAGAAACTAGCTTGTAACCATTGTGGAAAAGAGACTGGTCACATTGTATACTTAATGAAGTGTCCAAGATGTTCGTGGAAAGATTTCTACAGGGGCAAAGACGCTCAATGTATGATATGTGATGAACAGTTCCCTCTACTGTTTTCACATGTCATTGGTCAAGAAAACAAACACCTTGCGAAATCCAGGACTACTGGAATTATCGTGACGAGCTTTCAGAAGTAGATGGAATCTTGTTGAAGCAAGACAAGATTATCATACCCCTCAGTATGAGAGGAAAGATGCTAGAAAGAATACACGAGAGTCACATGGGCATAGAGAAATCCAAACGACGAGCAAGGGACATTATGTTTTGGCCAAGAATGAATGAGCAAATTGAAGCCGTTGTATCCAAATGCCAAACCTGCCAAGAATACCAGATGTCAAATCCCAAAGAACCCATGGTGCAAGGAACAATACCATCGAGACCCTGGGAAATGGTCGCAACTGATTTGTTTCAGTGGGAACAGAACAACTATCTGGTCGTGGCAGATTATTATTCGCGTTATATTGAAGTAGTCAAGTTGGAAAACACCACCAGCAGAACTGTTGTGAATCATATGAAG